ATCGTCCAGCACTCACTGCCATACAGGAAGACAGATATCACATAGCAGAATAGTACTTTTCCTTATTTCTACATTTTTTTTCCTATTTCTTAATACTCTGCTTAGCTTTTAGAATTTCTTCCACGGCTATCCCAATACGTCTTCAGATTTCAGTGTCACACTTTTCATCCTCTGTTAAAACACTTCTCAGATATTTAAATTTCCGCACTTGTTTGATGTTGGTATCACCGATTTGCAATTCGCACTTTGGACTCATCCTTTTGTTAACCACCATGCATTCTGTTTTCTTGCAGTTGATGTTTAATGCTTTCTTCTTGCTTTCTTTCTCTACTTTCTGTAGGAGTTTTTTGTAGTTTTCTTTCTGTGTTTTCTATCAACGATATACCTATCTGTATATACCAAGCATGAGGGAGAAGGACAAAGAGAGAAAGAGAGTGAGAGAGGAGACATTTTTTTGTTATATAAAGAAGGATAACATTGACGCATTTTGTAGACCTAAATGATGATGATAATGTCGTCAGACATTACAAAGCTTTAATTTCCTACTATAGTCTGTCACAAATATGGATTAACATCATATACTGTTAAGGACCTCATTGCATTCTGAATATGTCAGTTTGTCTAATTTATTTTCTAGGTTTGGTATATAACCGATCAGGGCTAAATGCAAATGTTAATTCTCTCTCTGACAATAGTAGTTTGCACACATCATTTGCGTTCACTGAAACTACCAATGATAACTGGACAGTATCATGAATAGTAGAAACTTTATTGTCAGTCAATAGCACATCCTCTAGCAACTTAAATAGGTCTAGCATCGAGAACGATCCCGAATGTTTTCTGTCTTCCTTTAATAAGGCCACTAAAAAAATCGTCCGTACATATGAGAAGAATTAAGAATAAGTAGGCAAAACTTGTCTAAATTATTTTATAGATATGACTTAATATATATATATATATATATATATATATATATATATATATATTAGATACTAGCAGTAGAGCCCGGCGTTGCCCGGGGATGTAACAGTAAGAGATAGATCAAGTATCGACCACCATAAAGACTGAAAATAAAATTGACAAAGATTATTGTTTAAGGTTGACAGACACGCGTGTCTTAATTAGTTTTTTTTTTTTTTTTTTTTTTACGAATTGATCAAACCCAAATTCATACAAAAACATTGTTTTCAATAGTTATGAGTCTACCGATTGAATAGAATTTTATTATAAACAATTGTCATGTAAATGGAATTTTTAAAGAATTCTGAATGAAAAAATAAAGAAAAAAGTGTGCAAGACAATAAGAAACACTACCTGCCAAAAAAAAGTGAAGTTTTGTTGAAATCGGTTGAAAAATGTAGGAAATCCGATCCCATATATAAACGAACACACACACACACACACACACACACACACACACACACACACACACAACCTGGGTTTTATAATAAGTATAACTCGATATGAGTTGTCCCCCTTTCATTCTGGCGACAGAATCGTGTTTTCAAATTGATTTCCAATTTTTTGGCGCTGTCAGAACCACCTCAAGGTAATTTTACGCAGTTCTGTGAAATTTTGTTGAAATCGGTTGAGAAATGTAGGAAATCCGATCCAATATATAAACGTACAGACACACACACACACAATCTGCGTTTTATAATAAGTAAGGTATATATATATAGAAAATATAAATATGGCACATATATATATTTTATATATATATATCTACTACATGTATTATATATGGACCTATTTATATATATATTATATATGCATACAAATATTATATATATTACATATATATGTTATATTACATATATATATTACATAAATATATTATATAATTAGATATTATATATATATATATGTATATATTTTATATTTATATTATATAAATATACATATATATTTACTATACTATCTATCTATATATGTATATATATATTATATATATACATATACTTTATGTTACATATATATTACATAAATCTATTATTTTATATATATTATATTTATATGTATATATTTTATATTTATATTTTATATATATATACATATATATTTTCTCTTCATTCAATCTCTGCCTGTCTGTCTGTCAGTCTCTCTCTCTCTCTCTCTCTCTCTCTATATATATATATATATATATATATATATATATATATATGTATATGTATATTCTATCTATCTATCTATCTATCTATCTATCTATCTATCTATCTGGTGTAAAAGCAAAATTGTCCAAATCATGTAACAGCATAATTATGGAATAATATATATATATATATATATATATATATATATATATATATATATATATATGTATATATATATTCAATGCTTCATGAGCTTCCAATTCTTAGCTATGATTAGTTAATGATGAACTTTTTTTTTTTTCACGATTCTTCTTAAGCTTAAAGAGTAATTATACATTATTACTACTCAAAGTAGCGCCCATTAATGTTATAAAAACTCGGAGAATTCCAGTGAGATATCATTAATCATTTCTAGGATAGAATGGTTCAGAGCTTAATCTAACAACTTTGCTTTTACACAATTTGAAGAATTTTTACTGTTGCACCCGGATATGTATATCTATCTATCTATCTATCTATCTATCTATCTATCTATCTATCTATCTGCATTTTCCTCTCTCTCTCTCTCTCTCTCTCTATATATATATATATATATATATATATATTGAGAGATAGCCAAAATGTTTGCTTATTTTACACGTATATAATAATTTTTTCATGGTAATTTATAAATATTGTTATTTGCATCAAAAATATGGAAATCTGTCTGAAGTTCCTGATTTTTCTTTTTTGTCGGAAATTTTAAAAAATCATTAATTCAACAGACGGACCTTTCTTTTCCATTCAATAAAATTTGTTTGGATGTATATACGTCGCACGCACACACACACACACACATATATATATATTGTGAAAAAAATGTAAAATATTCTTTCATTAAAGAAAAACTAAATTAAAACTTACTTTTTTTTTACATTTATGATTCTCTATTCATTTGATTGATTCATAATTCTTTTTATCTATTTTTGAGTGCCTGGTGTTGCTATCGCTGATAATTCTTATTGTAATGAAAACTATAATAGGTTCCTTTGCTTTCAAAAATCTTGCCAAATGACGTAATAACAAAATTTAATTTGAAATTTCTTCTTGATCGACCCAATATATTTTCGCCATCTCGTCTTATGGCTATGTGCCATCAGTTCACTGCTATACGTGATACACGATTGGGCGATCATGTCTCTTTTGGTTCATCTCTGACTCAGCAGGAGATTTTTCCCACTGCAGGTTGCTGTTTCTTTCTACAATAGACTAGTTGCCACCTAGTCTGTCCTGTTATTCAATCCATAGCTCTTGTGGACGGGAGAATAGATGTTATTCATACCTTTCTCAAGGTTACTTGCACGTTAGTGGATGTAAGGAACTCGACTAGAATTGGAACTTGGTTTTCCGATTGTTATTCCGAGTCGATATCCATTACACCACAACTCACCCCCAATATATGCAATACTAAACTAATTTTACTTGTCTTACTTTCTTTGCATTCACACACACACACACACACACACACACACACACACACACACACACACACACACACACACACACACACACATATATATATATATATATATATATATATATATATATCCAAGTAAGATGAGAACGAAGAATAGGGTACAATAAAGACGTTCGTTACATTTAATTTAAAAGAGGGCTCAATACAAAGTAGAACAATATTCTATATTTTAGGATATTACATCGAAAAACATGACAAACTCACTACACAATTGCAGTCATGTTTCGATGTGTTGATACGCATCAGGGGATTATAAATAAATCGTACAATCGCTTGATGAGATGCGTATCAATGCATCGAAACATGACTGCAATTGTGTAGCGAGTTTGACATATTTTTCGATATATATATATATATATATATTCTTTCTCTGCATTAAAAATTATTCTTGTATTTGGGCATATATATATATATATATATATATATATATATATGCCGATTTTTACGTTCAACTAAAGACCATATATATGCTTGTTTTGTTCACGCACTTTCTGGTTTCAATCATAATCAGTGTAGTTTGGATTTCAGATGGTGACGTTATAAAATGAGAAAAAATAAAATCCAGCCATCAAATTTCTCCCGTTCTTTACAGTCTGGCTGTGTGTCCCAACCTCACATGCTAATTTTCAGCCGCTACTGCAGCTGTATCAGCTTCTCCCTCTGCGCGGGGAAGGTCTGCTGTCAAACAACACTGCCAATTGTATGAGTTGTCGACCCGTGGCGATTAACACCATGTCGACTTACGTTAATATCTTTTATACAACTTTTAACTTTTTCTATCTTTCTCTTTTCTCCTCGTTTTTTTCCTTTCCCTTTCTTTCTTTCTTTCTTTCTTTCTTTCTTTCTTTCTTTCTTTCTTTCTTCTCTTTTTAATTCTCTCTTCTTTTCGTTTTTGTAACTTCTCTTTTCCTATATCTCTCTTCCTTTTCTATGTTTTAACTTCTCTTTATTATTTCACTTTTCTTTCTTCCTTTTCTCTATCTGCCTGGTTATTTATTCAGTTAATACAGTGGATCTCAACCTTTTTTTACCCATGGACCCCTTTCCCCTTCTTTTTATCTTGGTGGACCCCTTCATAGCTATTGGACATAAGAACAATTTTCTATTCTTCACTAATATAAATTTTAAGGTTTTAATTATCAAAGAAATAGTATACGATTAAGCTTTATTTTTAAATGAAAACTAATTTAATACAAATAAAATATTCTACTATAATTATAATAATAATTATTATTACTATTTTTAATTAACACAACAATTGAGTTTCGCCTGTGGACCCCCGGAAATATTACATGGACCCCTAGGGTCCATGTAGACCCCGGTTGAGAACCACTGAGTTAATACAAAGTGTGCGAGGTTTTAATCGAAATCGACCCTGCATACCTGTGTAGATGTTCACCTTAAAACCGGGGTTCTTCTTTTTTTCTCTTTCTTCCCTGTCTTTTTCTTTCTCTGTCTGTCTTTCTCTCTCTCTCTCTCTCTCGGTTTCTCTTTCTCTCTGTATCTCTCACGCTTTCTATCTCTCTCGCTTTCTCTCATTCGCGCGCGCTATCTCTCTCTATCTCTCTTTATCGCTTTCTCTCTCGCTCGCTTTCTCTTTCTCGTTATCTCTCTCTCATACTTTCTCTCTCTTTCGCTTTCTCTCTCGCCTTCTCTCTATTTCCCTTTTTCTCTCGCTTTCTCTTTCTCACTTTCTCTCACTTTCTCTTTCTTTCTTTCTTTCTTTTTCTCTCTGTCTCTTTTTCTCTCTTTCGCTCTTCATGATCGCACCCCCCTCATCTCTTACACACATACACACATATACGTTGGTCAGTGCTCACGCACACATGGTATCAACTAAAACGTGGAAGTCGGTGCGCACGAGATATATGAAGCACGTGTAGCGAGGCGCAGTTAGTTGTTCATTGGATGAAAGAAAAAAAGCCAGTAAGGGAAGGATAGAGAGAATGCGAGAAAGATCTGGCTTATGAGTTAAAGCTCGTAACACAGGCACGTCCGTCGCGGCTCAGCTATCAAACAAACACGTGATGTCTCTTCGGGAATGGAGTGATCGTCTGCGACTATGTGTAGAAAGAACTACAAGTCTATGAAAATTTCTACAAACATCTAAAAATCGCCGGGAAAACTAATAGAAAAATGAAGTAACAAAATAATAATACGGCTTAAAATGAAAATGGTTTAATAAGGGAATAAAAATTAGTGACATGTTCAAAATCTTTTGCAAATATTAATAGGTATTTAAAAACATTACAAATATTCCTCTTGTTCTGTGTGTGTGTGCACAAAACAAGATCGTTGTCAGTGTGATCCTTTAATTACAAATATGATTAAATTTCTCTTATCTATTTGCCTATCTGCCTCTTTATCTGTCTATGTCTCTCTATCCCTCTGTATATCTCCAGGGTGCGAGGGATAAATTGTCGTCTATATTACGCAATAATGAAAACACGAACTTATCATTTAAAGAAATATATTTACTAAAATTTCACAAAAATATCTTGAAATATTAAAGTGTAAATTTATTCAATAAATAAAATCGCCATTGGCTTAAATCACGGCCTCCTGCATCTCTTCTGGATGGATTACTTGTTTAAGTTGGGAATGCTGCCATATTCCTTGCCTTCATTTCATCTTTGGTATTACAAGGAATTGTTTTGGTCTCGCTCGACTGCACCCACACATAATCAAAGTCGGGGGGTTGCAATCTGGGGAGGTAGGTGGCCAGATGTAAGAGGTGATGTGGTCGTAGAAATTGTCTGACAACAATGACTGAGTTCTGCTTGTGTGGTGTGGTGCAGAGTCCTGTTGCCAGACATAGGATTTTCCAACAGCCTCCTTCTTGACCCAGGACAGCACTACCTACTCAAGGCACTTGATGTAGGTCTCCGTGTCCTGTGGGAAGATGAATGGAGGCATAACGTTGCCATCACTAGTTATCACTTCAAACACGTTCGTAATCACCATTAGACTCATCCAACTCTTTCTGAATCCTCTGCATTGTCCCCGGATTTACGCCCAAACACTTGGAAATGTTCACATTAGAACTTCTGGCTCAAATGCTAAGCAGTATAGCATGACGTTTCCAAACTTTTAGAGGAGTGAATTGCGTGTCATGGTGCTCTTTTTCTCGGTTCTCAACTGACCCTATTATACTGTGCAGTCGACGACAAAATAAAAAAGATAAAATGTCGATATATATATATATATATATATATTTCTGACTCTCAATATCTCTATCTATATCGCTCTGTCTGACTCAATCAATCAATCTATCTATCTATCTATCTATCTATCTATCTATCTATCTATCTATCTATCTATCTATATACCTCCTGATAACTGTTGTTGTTACACCCTGCCAAATGTACGGAGTGATTCCAGGTGTGTCCGTCTACGAAACTTTGGAGTCGAGATGCTGAAGCTAATATCAATCAACTAAGTGCCTTTTTACTTGCATTAACTACCTCTCTCTCTCTCTCTCTCTCTATCTATATATATATATATATATATATATATATATATATATATATATATATATATGAAAGAGATACTCATCGAAAAATATTAAAAAAAACAAAATGTCGGTTCTTTTACACAATTCAGACCAGAAATCAAAACTAAAATGAACCTCACACGAAGGACATGTTTATATCGTTGTTGATATAAGGCAGTAGTCCCCAGACCTTTTGTGGTTGCTTCCCCCTTGTGCACCCACCTCAAAAAAAGAAAAAAAGACGCTAAAACCCCTACATATAAATTTACACCTCATTCATAGTATTAGGTATAATTTAAATTAAAAAACAAGCCATGTAAAGCTGTACCCACACATATATTGTTTTTCAAGTATATAAGGATTAGATTGATCAACCAATCTAGTATCGCAAGCAAAAAAAAAGACCCTGAATCTGTCAGATAATTATCTGCACAGCTCATCCAGGTACGTAGCATATATTTGATGGTCATCATCTAGTATGTTCTCCTCCACTTTAGTAAGTCTTAGAAAGTGAAATAGCTCACAACGGGCTATATTGCACTTGAAAAACTCTAACAAAAACATGAAGAGGGCTGATTAGACCCTGATAAAGATGGTTTCATTTCATCGCAGTTTCAAATGAACTTCATTGAACTTGGTGAATATATCGAACAAATAAGTAATGTCATATTTTTAAAGCAATTCTCCGCAAGCAAGACTAGAGTGTCACTAGTACGCAAGGGGCTACAGAGAGTGTAAGTAAGAGAAAAGACTGGGTATAAAGGGAGGGGGGGAAGATAAAAAGAAGAACGGAGTTCAAGGTAACAGAAGATGTCGATTGACATTACACTTAAATTATTGAAGATTATAGCTATCAGGGAAGCAAGTAAAAGGAAAGAAGTTCCACTGTCGGCAAGTGCGGGAGAAGAAGCTGTTGGAGTAGAAGAGGCGGTTACATTTAACTGTTTCGACAGTAAAAGTGTGGGATCAAGATGCCAACCTAGTAGCACGCTGAAATTGATGTAGTTGACAACATTGAAAATAGTTCGTCAGATCAGATGCCATGAAAATATTTATAGAAAAGACAGAGGGAAGCTACATTACGTCGGTGAGAAAGTGACTGGAGTTGAGACCCCAAGTCAGGCCCGTTAACATTGCATCTTTGATCATACGTAGTTAAATAACTGAGAACAGAATTTGAATTTTCGAATAATTCAACAACTGTTCTAAAATAGAATAGAAACGTCTTCACACAGTTTCCCTTTCATAGACATCTAACTTCTCTGTGCAATGACAAACGTTAGGAATCTTCATTATTCTCATAGCAGAGTTATCGAAACCGTCGTAAAATGAGAGAATGTACTTTTATGCTATTTATTGTTGTGATAACGTGATAATATTTATCTATATCTATCTATCTATCTATCTATCTATCTATCTATCTGTCTTTTTAAGTACCTTACAAACTAAGCAAGTTTTCAGACAAAAAGGCAAACATAAGTTCCATACGAGTAAATGGACCTACCATTATGAAATACAACTTATTCAAGGAATAGAGAACGTTTTGGGATTCAATTTCATATATATATATATATATATATATATATATATATATATATATATATATATATATATATATAAGGATATTGCAACAAAAACATGTAAGAATCGATACACAATTGCAGTCGTATTTCAACACATAACAAAGCGTCTCCTCAGGCGATTGTAAATTACTGGCGAGTGAATAATTATTTTGATTTCAAAAGCAAAATACTTCCTCCTTTTTTTATTTTTTGTTTTTTTAAAAAAAAAGAAAGAAATATGCCTTGTTGGCTTTACCCTGATGAACCAATCGAATATGACCTACGTTAAATTCAAACTAAGCGAAAAAGAAAAAAAATAGAAATTATTATCTTAGAAGTGTATCATGGCCAAGATTTGACATCTAACAGCAGCCAGACATTAACTTAAAGACTGATACAAATGATTACAATAAATGTACACATGCTAGACAGTCAACCTTCATAAGAAATAAAAGCTGGGGTAGTGAACCGAAATTTCCAACTAGTTATAAGTTTTGTGAATTTTCTACATAAATAAGTTTCTAGTTGAATAATAGGATGCCTCTTTTGGAAACTAGTAAATAATTTAAACATAAAATTATTTGGTAAATAATATGCAATTGTTAAATAAATATCATCCATCTAAGATGTTAATAATATCCACAATAATATTGCTTTATTATGTATTGAGCCCTCTTTTAAATTAAATGTTACGAACGTTGGAGGTGTACTCTATTCGTCCTCATCGTACCTGGATATATATATATATATATATATATATATATATATATATATATATATATATATATATATATATATATATATATATATATCTATTGTAATTATTATTTTTAAATATGAAAAAAATAATTATTATAATTAAATAAAATAAGAAATAAAAATATAAAATAATAATAAAAATAATAAAAATAATAAAAAATAAAAATAATAAATAATAAAAAATAATTATAATAATTAAGAAATAATTATAATTTAGGCTCTACTTGTGTATTGAGCACTGTTTTTTTTTTTAATAAAAAAAAAAAATACTAAAGAACATCGGATTATTACCCTAAAGGTTCTTTCCTATTTTTCTATATTTGCGCGCACACACACACACACACACACACACACACACACACACATATATATATATGATAGGATAAAGGAAAAGTGGGAAACAGGTTTTAATCTAGTTTGTTTCACTTTATTAAAGGTTCGTCAGAGATCAAGACAGAAATGATAAAATTGATAAAAATCAAAGAGACGCAGATTAATGGTATGTTGTGGTTGGCTATTGGCTAGATACGTGTCACGTGTAATGAAGTAACAGATAATATTTAAATATGTGTTGCAAACCTTCTTGAAAGCTAAAGTGTGTAAAACTTAGTGAAATGCAGCAGGATGTTTTGATTGGATACGTGAAACGTGTAACACACACACATACATATATATATAAAACTGTAAAAAATTTGCTCATTACTTTGCGTCTGTTATTTTTATATTATGTATCGTATTGATTAGATTGATGGAAATTTTCCCTCTTTTGCAGTCTGCTTTAAAAATCTTCAGTGTCTTTAAAATTTATTCAGCTTTTTATTGCTTGTCAAATCAATCAACTGCAGTATGTTGCTTACTTGTCTTAAAAAATTCATAACGTTGGAAAATGGGTTCGACAAGAATTTACAGGAAGAAACATTTTAATAGTGTTTAAGATTTGCTTTTCTCTTCTTGCACAATGCAGTAAAAAGATTTTTTTTTTAATTTTTTTATTACAATTACTTGTGTTGAAAATTAATCTATTACGATATTACAATAGAAATTAAATTGTATCCCGATCTTGGACAGC